AAAAAAAAAAAGTTGATTATCATAATTTTAACAAATTTTTTAGAAAATTGTGATATTTAACTTTTTTTTTTAATTATTTATTTTTTTTATGTACTTTTTAAAAAAAAATCTATCAAAAAAAGATAAAATAGAAATTTTATCCAAAAACATGAGAGCCAAAATTTTTTCCAACTTTTGAAGACAAAAATGATATCGAAATCTTTATTTTTTTTCTTTCACGACATTTCTTATCATAAATGCGCCGTAAAAACAAGCAGAATAAAAAAAAATTGAAAATGTTAATTTTTTACCTAGATATGGCCCAAAATGGGGTTGACCCCACTTGTAAATAATTACCAAAAATAATATCAAATTTATAAAAATTCTGTCTGTGCATAAAAAAAATTTTCATGACACCATGCACATTTTCTCAAAAATTTAAATATTAACAAAATTTTAACTGCTATTTATTGATCAGAACATTTAATAATTTATTAACATTTTCAATTTCAATTTATTGATTGAATTAGAAATTACTCAGTCATAAATGTACATTTATAGGATTAATTTACTAATTTAATTGATGGAATAGTAGGCCAATATGAAGCAGAATGATTTATACTTGAATTTTTTTTATATTATTCAATTCAATGAAAATATTTAGTAAAATTGTTTCAAAATTTTTCATTATAATTCATGTGATCATACTAAAATTAACAGATACCTCACTATTTTTGAATTTTATTTAAAAAGTAAAGTAATACAAAGAAAATACTTTTGAAAAATTGCATTTATAAATATTTTTATCTAATTTTTGCATGTGAAAGTTTTTTTGAGTAATTTATTTAGTAAAAAAATTCTAGACATTATCAAATGTCTTTTTATTTCAGTATCATTTTATATACCAGTTTTTAATAGAAAAAAAAAAAAAGTACTTGATTGTGAAAAGTTGAGAAAGTATTGATTTTTTACAATACTGAAATTTTTCAATTTTTTTTTATCTACTCATAAGTGAAAAAATACCAAAAACTTTGCAATGTTGACTTTTTTCAATATTATTGATTTTCATGACGAAGTTTTTGAATGTTTTAAAAACATATAAAAATTTACGCAAGCTTTTAAAATTATTTCCTTATACAGGTATAAAGATAATTTTAATTTTTTGTAATTTATAAATCAAGAAAAAAATTAATAACTGTCTGACGTCGATTAATGCCAATTTTATCATTTTTTTATTTTTCATGACCGTAGTCAAATGAAAGATGCCCATGAATGTAAATGATAATAATAAATACGAAATATATGTAAAGATAATAAAAGTGATTAAATATTTAAAAGAGCAAACTTACTGGCTTGCTCTGTAGTCACTTTATACTGATAGTAATTGAAGTATTCCCCTCCAAAAAGGAAACTAAACTTTGGATTATCCTTCTGTTTATTTTTTGTCATCTGCTCAAACTCGGGTCCATTTCGAGCGACGAATTGAGCTAATTTGTCGATTATATTGCGTAATTCTATATCTGTAATTAAATGAAAAAAAATTACCATCATATTATTTATGTCAAGTACTACATTGTTACAAACTATTTAACCTCACAAAATAAAGTCATAGCTAAAACTTTAGAGTTAACTCATTTTAGATAAATTAATCCTAATCTAATAAATATTACTCGTTCTATTTTAATTATGTTATTTATCTAAATAAATTTTTATTTCTCAAAAAAAGTTAAATGTCAAATAAAACAATAAGAGACCGGTTAAAAATATTAATTTTACCTGATGGCGCCTGATCCATTATAAATTACAATTAAGTCACCAATAATTAAATAAAAAAAACACAAATAACTATCTATAAAAATTCATTTAGCTTCATTAATAAATAAGTAATATTAACTGCATTATAATTTTCTCAGCAACAATGCGTTAATTTAAAAAACTTCTGATTCATTAAAAAGTTTTTTTTAGTTTACATACAGCACTATACCGTTTTAATGCTTTGCTTTCATGTTCTTTGCTATACTTTATTTATCACTGGGCATTTACTACTGTCGCCATCTTCTGAAACTTCAGTAAGCATATTAGCATATTAAGCACATCGATAATAAAGTTTTTATCGTATGTACCGTATCTCGATAGCCAATCAACGAGGATTCCATCTGTTGGGAAACTTAGAACTTTGATACGCCAACTAGTGGTTCAAAGTGTAACTACTCAAGGTAGGCTAATTTTGTGTACATGTGTACATGTGTTGCCTACTTTTAGTAGTTCATTTTTAAACACCAGGGGTCTAATACCTAAGCCACGCCCATCCTAAGGATCCCAATATATAATGACACTGAAGTTAGCAGACGTCTAAAAATTTTTGATTTTTTTTTTAAATTAAATTACAGCTAAAAAAATATTTCTAAAAAATTGCACTTGAAGTTTTTCAAGTTTTTTACATGTGAAATTTTTTTTTTTAATTATTTAATTGAAATTTCTTCAGTAAATAATTTGTAAAAATTTTGAAATGTTAGCTAACTTCATTTTCATAATATATATTGCTCCCTCGTAGCGTAATGTTAGGATAAAGATCGGGGATTCCCATTTAAATAGAAATAATCTCATGTTACTCCGCTATTTATTATATAGTCGTGTTTCGGCATTTGTAATAACAATACTTGTATGCGTCTGTCGTGTATAAATTTCCGTGCTTACACCCATTTTCATATTAAAGCATATTTATTGCACATAAATTAAAATTTGGCATATAAAACATATATACGTTTTATAAATATAAAGTAGTAAATTAATAATGGGTGTTGTACTTGGCTGTATCGCAGGAGCTAGTGCATTGCCACTTTTGGGATTCGGAACATCAGGAATAATCGCAGGGTCATTGGCTGCTGGTTGGCAAGGCTCAGCAGTAGTGGTAAGCTTTTAAAATTTTAATTTAGTAACTGCTAATAATCCTAATTGATCAATTAATTTTTTAGTCTGGATCGTTGTTTGCAACATTGCAGTCATTAGGTGCTACTGGGTTAGGAAATTTATTGTTCGGAGCAGTTGGATTAGTTGCTGGCGTTGTATACAGACTGTGATTTTATTTTTTGTCTTAAAAAGGTCATTTATTTTTTTGTTTTAACAATCATATTTACATAAGCAACAAATTTCCTTAAACAACTTAATAATAATTTTTGGTTTGTCATGATGATGCGTCTTACCATAATACCGTATGCTTATTTTTCTTGTAACAAATTTTTTCTTAATAACTATATTATTATACGTATTTTTTAAAGTTATAATAAAAATAAATAAAATATAAATTAAAAAATCCATAGAAGCCATTTTGTATATAATAAGACAAAGTGTGCCTCTACCCTCTATACGTTGTATTTTTACACTTTCCGGATTGATTTGTACATTGATTTGCAAAATAAGCTAAATGTAAAAAATAATATTTCTTGAATGTCAGAAACGTAAATAATGTCTAGATTTAAAAATAAAGAAATTCACAAATAAATCTATTCGTAAAATCAGCAATTAAAAAAAAAAGCATCAATAAAATGTCACCACTTACAAAATTACCTAATTTAAAATAAATAATTATTAAAATTATTCCAATTATAACATTTATTTAAATTCTTTCTCCATTGCTTTGAAATAAGTATCTCCAAGCCCTGGAAAAATAATGTTTCCTTCGTCGTCGACAACATCGTTCCAACGTTTTTCCCAAAAAACTTGAAATCCAGCTTTCTTGGCAGTTTTTTAAGAAGCTGGTGAAGAAAAGAATGATGAGGTCACCGAGACGTTATATTTCTTCAGCTATCTTATCTCTATAATAAATTAAACATGATAAATATAGAATATAATTCGTAGAATATGAGAAGTAAATACCTCGCTAATAACAGGTGAGTTCCCAATCCCAGACGACGATAATTTGGATCCACAACTAACCCAGCAGCTTTCAAGTAAAAACCAGCAGCTCGTTTTCTAGAAGAATTTGCCTCCATCGAACAGTTTCGCACCGTGGCAAGTAGCTTCTCTCTTTTGGATATAGTACTCTGAATAAAAAAATGAATATTTTAATCATACATAATCTTTTACATTCAAGAAAATTTATTTGAGAAAACAAAATTACTTTTCAAAAAGTAAGTATTTTCGAGTCTGAATATTATATTAGTATTGTTTTGTTGTCTTTTAATTACAATCTTTTAAAGGGTCTCGTTTATATTTATATAGTCATTAAGTTTCATAAAAAATTACAAGATTATCAATAAGAATTAAAAAATTTCGTTTCAAGTTTGGTTCTTTTTAAGAAAAAATATTGGTTAAATGGTTGACTCTACACACCATCCTTGCAACTTTCCGCTAATTTGATTTGAAAAGTGCTGAAAAATTTCACCCATGACGACGTGTTTAAGCTCGCTGAGCTCAAAAACATAGTTTGACTGCTATTTTGAGTACTCCCTGTAAAGTAGAACTGTCATACGCTTTTGAGTTCTTTGAGCTCAAGAGTTTAATTTGTATTCCGTAAAAAACTTTTCAACTTCCCGCTGAGAAAATTGAGAATTTCACAGGGAGCTTCCCTGATTATTTCCGCGATGGTGTCCGTGCGACTGTGTGTGTGTTGTGTGTGTGTGTAAACCTCTTATAACTTTTGAACGGTTTGGCCAATCGGATCAAAATAGGTGACGATTCAAAGTGTATCGTTGCCACTAAGTTTCGTGAAAATTTGAATCGATTCGGTTCACTAGATTTTGAGAAATCTCAAAAATAGAATTTTCAAAAAATCGTTTTTTTGGAATAACTATTAAACGGTTCCACCGATCAATTCCAAAAACTAATCCGTTTTTCAGTTTAAAAAACCAATTGCCACCAGTCCCATCAAATTCGGTTGATTCGTTCGTGAGTTATCGTTGTCGAAAGAAAATCGAAAAGTGTTTTTTCGGAATTACTTCGAAATTCCTAGTTCAGCCAATTAAAACTTAAAGATTCTTTATGAGGCTTCAAAAACTGCATCGAATGCCGCCAACTGCGTGAAAATCGGTCCATTCATTCAAAAGTTATTGCGGTTTGAAAGTTCAAAAAATAGTGTTTTATTAAACCTTTATCAGACTTTTGAACTCGGAGAGAATTAGCGGGAAATTGCCAGGATGGCCTTTAGGGTCAACCGTTTTTCAAATTTTTTAAATAAGTTTAAACTACAATAACTTTCGAACCAATCAACATGACTTTATTGTGCATGCCAACAGTTAACGTGGTTAAGAGAGCTTTATTAAAATTCTCAGAAGCCCCCCCCCCCCCTCACAACACACACACACACACACACACACACACACACACACACACACACACACACACATGCGCGGACGGACGTCATACTGGAAATAGTCGCAACAGTTTCCAAGGACCGAAAAACGTGGAGATCTGATGAAAACTTGCATTCTCAGAATAGGATTGAAATTTATATATATCTTTCAACTTTGAAAAATGATCAATTTTCAAAGCGAGAAGTTGAAAAACAAAATCTTTTTCCCTCTTGCAAGTTCTTCAACAAATTATGATAATTTCCATAAGCAATCTCAAACTAATTTTCAAAGATTTTTGATTTTAGTTTGGGTGAGTAATATGATAAAAAAATACTCACGGTAATAGGTGCAATCGTTTTGACTGCATTGTTATATTGTATCATCAATACATTCAATCCGGCTAACGTAGATATTAAATTGTTTTTGTCGACTTCATACGCATCGACTGAAATTCCTTGATTAAGAATTATTGCCCAAATACTGCGTAATTCAGCTACTGATTTTTTATCATCAATTAAATCTGGAAAAAATAAACAGAGAAAACTTCATCAGTTTGTAAAAATCATTTAACGAATATATATAATCGTTTATCCAAGACTTGTACATTTATGATCTTTTATCTCTTGATGATTCTTTTCCGAATTTTATTATTGCTAAATTTATTAATTAATTTACTTACAACATTACTTTCACAAATATCATTTTTTTTCATTTGGAGAAAAACTTATCGAAAAACGTAATTTATCTATTATTGAAAGCTAATTCGAAATTAATGTCTTAATCTATATATATATATATATATATATATATATATATATATATATATATATATATATATGTCTGACGTGAGACAAAATTTATTTTTATTTAGTTGTTTTACCATAAAAATAATTTATTGCATCAATGTACTTACTCAAACTTCGACACATCGCTTCACTTGTAATAAAATCAGTGCACAAATGGTCTAGAGCTTCTTCATATCTGTTCGGAGGTATTTCTTGGATAATGAATTTAACTTTTGTTCCATCCGGTTTGACAGCTTCAACAGTAGACCAAATTTTTGGATCTCCCGGGAGACGGAACCAAAACATGTTTTACATCAATAACTAAAATAACTAAAATGCAGTTGAAAAAGCAATAGAAACACTACTTATTTAGCTTATTACAATGGGAAGTTTGTAAAATGTTGTTGACATTATTCTTTTAGATAATAAATGAATAGTTATTCTTATAGATTAATATTCGGTTGTTACCACTGCAGATTCTGTTTAGGTAGTGATACTATGAACGTAAAATTCTTAATACTAATTACTGTTACTTACAACGTGTCACTCCTACTCCATTTCAACAATTGTACGACTCATAAGGCGAAGCATCAGCAAGTGTTAAACGATGGAAAAATGTTCTTTTACTATCGATGCTAAAATTTTGAATTTCGTTTTTTCGAACTGTTGAAAAAAAATATGTGACAAACTATAAAAATTATGCATTAATAAAGAAATTTGATATATTCTAGTGCTTATTTATAAATAAGTTTATCTAAAAAATTAACTTAAGGGATAAAGTGGTTTGTAGCGTCGAATGCTGCCAACCGCGTAAAAATCAGTTTATTCATTCAAAAGCGATTGCAGTTTGAAAATTTAAAGAATGGTGTTTCATTAAAACTTCCATCAGACTATATTAGGCTCGAAGAACTCAAAAGCATTGAATAGCTTACTCTTTGAGCTCGGAAAGCTCAAAATAACACATAAGTTATATTTTTGAGCTCGACGAGCTCAACAACGTCATAAGTGCAATTTTAAGCGCTTAGATATGGAATTAGCGGGAAGTTGTAGGGATAGCCTTTAGGCTCAACCGTTTTCCTAATTTTTTTAGGTAGATTTCATAGAAATCTATCTATTGCATTGGTCCTCATGTCGGAATTCACTTAGAATTTAGTTATAATAATAATTAATAATAAAATAAAATTGAGATGAAATATATGTGAAGCCAATTTATTCGTAATCTGATTGGTTAAATATAATATAAACATAAAAATATATATAAGTTTACACTCACAGTCAGGTGTGCGCTTGCGCACGTTAAGTCTACCCAGGTAGAAAAATATTATAATGTCATTATAATGCGTGTCAAAAATATTTATTTTTCCAAAATTTCCCATAAAAATCTAAAAAATACCAAAAACTCTGCTTTAAGATAATTAGGTTTGAACTGGAAACAGTCATAGCGAGAGAGGTCAATTGATAACTTTAAAATAAAATTTTCTGAAGTATCAGGAACTCAGCACTAAGACGTTTTTTCCATAAGCTTTACTTAATCGATTAAATCAAAAGAGGTTTACTCCTCTAGGTATGGGTCTCAGGACCATACTGTCTTGCCAAGCCTGCTATGCATACGTGTAAAAAATACAATAGCACCATTACTATACTACATATAGTAAATAACGCCATACTTATGGGTCTCGTTACAATACTGAATTGCAATATTACAAATACTATTTTAGTATCGGTCTGGAGACCATACTAACATTGTGTTAAACGCCATCCATTTCTCTCCGTGTACATAATGAGAAGTTCCAGGGATGGTCTGCAGAGTTAGCCGTTTTCCAGATTTTTTGTCTTGAATGAAGCCAACTTCTATAGAAAACCAAGTGATACTGATTTGATTCAGACTTTTTTTGTCTTAAATCGATCCTGACTAAGCCAAAAAAAGTCAAAAGTAAGTCAAATATCATGGAAATTTTACATTTATATTATAAAATAAATGATTTGGAATGGGAAGATTTTATAGAAATTTAATCCTTTTATATTAACACACCTAAAACGTGATTAAGCGAATCCTACAAGCTTCAACAAATTTAGAATAATATTAAGCATTATCATACAATAATACGTGGAATGATGACAATGTAAAAATTTACGTCCCAAAGGAAAGAAAACATTGGTCATTTATTTTGAACATTGAGAACTCCAAATTATATTTGTTTAAAAGCTATCAAATGATTGATAATATTGATGATATAACAAAAATAGTAATCATCATTTCCAAAGTTTAATTTAAGTTGAGAAAAATTGGTCGGTAACTACAAGATCTCATGATTTTTATTAGATTTTATTTAAATTTTTTCTCCATAACTTTACAATAAGTATCGCCAAGTCCTGGAAAAATAACGTTGCCTTTGTCATCAACAATATCGTTCCAACGTTTTTCCCAAAAAGTTTTAAATCCAGCTTTCTCAGCAGTTTTTTGTGAGACTGGCGAAGAGAAGAATGTTGCGGAAACTAAGATATTGTATGCTTGAGCTATCTTATCTCTAAAACATATCAAACATGATAAATACAGAGTATAATTAGTTAAATATAAGATAGTAATTACCTCGCTAACAACAAATGAGTTCCCAATCCTAGACGACGATAATTTGTATCCACATCTAATCCAGCAGCACTCAGATAATAATCGACCCCCCACTTTTTACAGAAGTCTACTTCTGCAAAGAGGTTGTGCAAAAAGGTAAGCAGCTTTTCGTTTTTGGACATGGTACTCTAGAATATCTTTGTTTTTAATTGGAAATCGTTATAACGCATTACAATACCGAGAAAAAAAAAATGTTTGACAGAATAAGCATTTTTAAATAAACATTCATTTTATTGAAAATATTGAATGATATGATTACTTGATCTTTGTATTAGAAGATGTAATGCTTATACATACACTCAATAGCAAATTCGTTACCAGGTACACAGTCACACATTTTCATATGCACGTACTATCATACATCCATGCGTCCCTTCTCAAACAACTCAATTACAATGTTTTGCAATTAATTCTATATTATTTTACACTTTATATTTAGTCATACCCCTCGCGGTTTTGAGAACGCCGTAAAAATACCGCAATTTTTCGGCTCATGCCGTATATTTACCGTTATAATGCGGTTAAACTACAGTTGTTTTGGTCAGTTTTTATACTGTAAATATTCAGTATATATACTGCACTTATGCTGTACAGTTACCAAAAATATACTATACAATTACCGCATTAATGCCCAAATTTTACCCAAAAAATTCCAAATAATTACCGTAATAATACAGTAATTTTGCCGAATATTTTCTGACATAATGGAAAATTATTAAACATTTGGTTTTATTTTTAGTTCACTTCTATGTTAGAAATGAATAAAATGAAAAATTTCCAATTTTGCTTTTTATTCTCCATCGCTACTTTGCAAAAACAAATACTGTTTTTGAATAAATACTATGTAGAATATTATTTTTTAATTAGGTATTTAACGGTAATGAATATAAAAGAATGCATATGTTAAGTAAATATATTCTAATTTCAATTTCAATTTTTAATTTCTCACTTAGAAAATTGCAAATTTTCTAAAATCGGAAAGTTATATTGTTTCACATATATAACTATATTATTTAATTTTAAATATACTTATGGTAAGATGGACAGAGTGGCTTAATGTATATAGAATAAGCAAAAATTATGAGGTATACGGGTTAGGTAGCTCAAATGGTCGAGTAGCCGTCTTGTCCGCAGGAGGTTCTGAGTTCGAATCCCAGTCCGAGCGATATTTAATTTTACACAATTTTTTAAGTATGGTTTTAATACAGTCATTTTACCGCCTTATTACCATAAATATGCCGCATTTTCAGCGTAAATATTCCAAATTTTTATCGTAAATGTATGGCATTTTGAGCGTAAATATTCCGCATTTTTAGCGTAAAAATTCCGCATTTTGAAGGTAAATTATTCGCATTTTTACGGTAAATGTTCTGTAATATTTCGATGAAATAACTGACCAAAATAACCGAAAAAATACCGCATTATTACTGTATAACTACGGCATTTTTTCGGCATTTACAAAACCGCTAGGGACATTATTAAAATTTATTTTGTTCAGTGTAAGTATCATGATAAAGCAAAAAAAAAGGCTTACCGTCATAGGTGTGATCGTTTTATCTTCACCTTTATTACTCATCACCAATACATTCATTCCGGCAAATTTAGATATTTCATTGTTTTGATCAACTTCATATGCACCGATTGAAATTCCTTGCTTGAGAGCTGTTGTCCAAAAAGCTCGTACTTCAGCTACTGATTCTGCGTCATCAATCAAATCTGAAAAAAAAACAATTTATTAATTTTTACAAATAGTTGATCGAATAATCTGATCATAAATACATGATCTGTCTATTCATGATACTTTCTTTCTTGATAATCTTAGTGTTACCTTTTATCAAATTTATAAATTATTATATTTTTATGAACATAATCTTCCTTACATAAAAAGAAAATTTTATAAAAAAAAACCCTTTTAAACAATCATTAAAATCGAACTCGAAATTTGTGTTTTCATTTATGCTTTTTACATTAAAAAGCCAAATTTATTTTTAAGGAATTATTTTCTTAAAAAGAATTTTCTCCATTGTACTTACTAATACTTCGACATATTGGTTCGCTCGTAATGAAAACAGTGCACAAATGATCTAGAGCTTCTTCATATCTACTCGGAGGTATTTCTTGAATTATGAATTTCACTTTTTTTCCATCCGGCTTGACAGCTTCAACAGTAGACCAAACTCTCGGATCACCCGGTGGACGAGACCAAACCATTTTTTACACAAGTAACTTAAATTCAGTGAAAATAATGGAAACACTAGTTAAGTTATGATACGAATTATATCACATATTACTGACTGTTATTCAAACATCCAAGAATTTTTTTTTTTTTTATCAATCTTCGATAATGTTACTGCAGCAGAACTTGTCTCGGTATTAGCAGTACAGATGATTTTTAACACTACTTACTGTTACTGATAACCTGCAACTCCCACTCCATTTCTACGTACTTGAAATTTTGATAAGAAGTCCACTTTTGGCAGTTTTGTTATCTAAAAACGGCTGCCCAATTTTAAAACACAGTAACTGCAAAATTTTTATACCTTATTTTTTTTAATATTGCTGCATTTTTTATAACTTTTAGACCTTAATTTCAAGTATTTTTTTTTTAAGAATATTTATATTCAAGTATTTTCTATTAATAAATTAAATTTTTCATCAATTTGGCAGGCAAACTTTTTTTTAATAAGAAAAATTTTAAAAATTTCTAAATGTTAATTACTGTGTTTTGAAATTGCGCAGCCGTTGAAAAGCTTTCAGTTCAACGAAAGTATTATGAAAGTTTATATTTTATACACAAAAGTCGGTAAAGAAATTTTCGCTTATATTTTTTTATTTTTTTAGTTCATGAAATTGCTATTGGAGAATTTGTAATTCTACTTAAAGAAAATTATTCTTACTAATAATGGTGATAATAATCATAAAATTAAAAAAAAATAATTCTCTAAAGATTATTAAGAGTTTTTTTACAACTCTATAAATATTTTTTTTTTTAATCATCCAACGATTAAGCATTGTAATATCTTAGTTTTTTATTTATACCTACATAAGTATATTTTAAAATGTAATTACAAATTGAATTAAATGTCAAATTTTTCTCTTATTCTGTTGTATTTATTTCGAACAATAACACATAAATAACAATGTTATTACTTTTATCAGATTTTACTTAAATTTTTTCTCCATTACTTTACAATAAGTATCTCCAAGTCCTGGAAAAATGACGTTGCCTTTGTCATCAACAATGTCGTTCCAACGTTTTTCCCAGAAAACTTCAAATCCAGCTTTTTTAGCAGTTTTTTGGGAGGTTGGCGAAGTAAAAAATGTTGATGACACTGGGATATTGTATGCTTTAGCTATCTTATCTCTAAAACACATCAAACATGAAAAATGCAGAATACAATTAGTAAAATCTCAAAAATAGTAATTACCTCGCTAATAACAGATGAGTCCCCAACCCTAGGCGACGATAATTTGTATCTACATCTAATCCAGCAGCACCCAGATAATAATCGACACCCCATTTCTTACAAAAGTCCACTTCTGCAGAAAGGTTTTGCATGAAAGTAAGTAGCTTTTGACTTCCTGACATGGTACTCTAGATAAAATATTTTGGTTTTTACATAAAAAAAAATCATAAAATATGCGTAGGTTTGTGTTAATTGTTAGTGTTTCAAACAGTAATTCGGACTTGGACCTGTCATTTTAATTTTATGGACATTTGCATAGCTATTGTTACTGTTTGCGATGGTATTTTTTGCCACATAAATGTGAAATTATAACATTCGAATAATAAATATCAAAAATTAATAATTAAAATTACGATCTTATTGTTTCAAATAGTACTCATTATTAATTGATTATTATTTATTATAGTTCATTTTTTCCATCAATTAAAAAATTTTCATTTTTTCATAAAAATACACTGAAAAAAATGAAGTTTTTTTTGAAAGTATAAGTATTTTAAAGTCACAATGTTACATTTATTGATAAAGTTAAATAACATAATCACTTAATTTCAGAATTGCTTTCATGGTCATAATAAAAATTACTAGAGGAAATAAAATACTAGTGTACTCGCATGAATTCTTTAATTGTTAGATGTATTCCAGTCATTAAGTTGAATTAAGTTACAGCTTTGTAGTCACGGAAGATACATTATTATGTATGTATATGTTGCTTTTAATATTTCGATAAATGAAGTTTTTTTTTTAAAGTTATTCATTCTCTTTTAATTATTTTCAGTACTTTATGAAGTCTCAATAATAAAAGGATGAAAAGTACAAAATTAATAAGGGTTAAATTATTTTTTAAACTATAGAATTTTCCAAATACCTGTGATTACATTAATTTATTCGATACATTTAAAAAAAAACATAATTAAAAAAACTGTTGTACTAGAAGTTTTTATTCTACGAAAATTACATTACTCTTCGTTGATTGATACAAACATTAATTGATACTGTGAGCAATCATAATGTATGGTTAAAAAAATAATTCGTATCAAATAATAGATTGCTATCAAGTAATAATACTATTACTCTAACTAGTGTTATTATTAATACACGGAAGAAAAATATTATATTTTTATTGTTATTACTAATTTAGTGACCAATAACTAAAATTTAATATTTCAATGTAAAAAACAATTATTTTACAAATCATAACAATTAAACGTATCTTGTATGCTTAAAATGTTATTGTAAAAATCTCTATATGAAGGTAAAATAATTTATTGTCAAATTAAAAATATGATAAGGAAATATCACAACAGTTTAACTGATGACAAAGTAACTACAGACATGTAAAAGAGATAAAAATTTTTTCCTCAAAAAACGATAGTATAATAGTTTTTGTAGTGTCTGATAACTGTTTAATTTTCTGATACCATTAGTTTTTTCCACTTACAATTTAAAAATTCAGTTTATCCAATGTCCAAAAAATGAAACAAACTAACAAAATTTTATTTTTTTCTCGTATTCTCTAATAAATTATGAAAGGGATTAATTGCAAATTTTTTTCAAAAAATGATTTTTTCTTCAGAGTAAGTATTATGACAAAGTAAAAAAAGACTCACCGTTACAGGTGTGATCGTTTTATCATCATCTTTATCACCCATCGTCAATACATTCATTCCGGCAAATTTAGATATTTGATTATTTTGATCGACTTCATATGCACCGATCGAAATTCCTTGATTGAGAGCTGTTGTCCAAAAAGCTCGTACTTCAGCTACTGATTCTGCATCATCAATCAAATCTGAAAAAAACAATTTATTAATTTTTACTAATAGTTGGTCGAATATCTGATCATAAATACACGATTTTTCTATTAATAATACTTTTTTTCTTGATGATTTTACTGTTACCTTTTATCAAATTTATAAATTATTCTATTTTTATGAACATAATTTTCCTTATATCAAAAGAAAATTTAATAAAAAAAAAAACCCTTTTAAACAATCATTAAAATTGAACTCGAAATTTGTGTTTTCATTTATGCTTTTTACATTTAAAAGCCGAATTTATTTTTAAGGAATTATTTTCTTAAAAAGAATTTTCTCCATTGTACTTACTAATACTTCGACATATTGGTTCGCTCGTAATGAAAACAGTGCACAAATGATCTAGAGCTTCTTCATATCTACTCGGAGGTATTTCTTGAATTATGAATTTCACTTTTTTTCCATCCGGCTTGACAGCTTCAACAGTAGACCAAACTCTCGGATCACCCGGTGGACGAGACCAAACCATATTTTACACCAGCAACTTAAATTGAGTCAAAATAATTAAAATACTCGTTATTTGATACTATCTCAAACAACAAAAAAAGACTTATTATTATTTAAAATAAATTTTTAATTCTGTAATCACAACAGTTACTATCTAGGTATTGATAGCAAATATAATTTCAAATAATACTTACTTAGAAAATAGCACGAGTTATCTTGAATATTTTTATTATGAATTTTATCAACGTCAGCGCGTTTACTTTGACGTCTGGTATACCGACTGTTCGCTAGATATGACTGACGTTCATGTTTCTTGTTCAACCAACTATTTAATTAACTAACTCAAACCGTATGGTCACGATTACAATCAACTACGCGAAGATATTATTTATAAGTTGTAACTCCCACACTTAAGTTTTGAAAATGTTAAAACTTTGTTTAATTAAAAAAAACTCTTGGCAACTTAAGTTTGCAAACCTGCAAAAGCTGGCAAGCATTCAAGTCATGATAATTGTTTCAATGTATATTTCATACATATATACTATATATATTTGAATGTGCTAAAAAAATGATAAGTTATGACTTCGCTTAAGCTTAAATTTATTTCATTTTAATTTACTCATAAATAATGTTCGAATTCTAATATAAATTTATAAACAATATGTAAATATTATATAATTTCAATGAGACACAAAAAATTAAAAAAAAAAAATGTTTATTTTGATTAATGAAAAATTATTTTTTTTTCTTTAATAATTATCAAAGGCTCTATTTAGCAATATATATATTATATATGATCTATTGAAATTAATTTATGTATTCTATGCGCATCGCATAAAGTTTATTATTGTAATTATTTAACGAGTTCAAGTTCACAAGCCGAGTTAAAAATATTATTACGTTTTAATTCAATAGATTACTAATATCCGTTGCGCGCGCAAGCGCGCGTGTGAATGTTTGGTATGGAATTATCTATATTTTCATGCTTATGATATATTTCACCAATCACGTTACGAATATTAGTTTGCTTGCATGATATATTTTCATATTTTTCATCTAATCTAAATTATAAAAAGTGGAAAAGAGTTGAAATATATTTTTCCATATTTTTCATCTAATCTAAATTATACGAGTGGAAATTGTTATTTTTATTCATTTACCATTGTATTATAGTTGTTTGAAGAAGTCAATAGAAAGTGAATAAAACCTTGTGGTATTGAGAGAGAAAATTTTCTTACAATTTCATGTCTTTATTAGATATCCCTTACGGAAAAAGTATATATTCTGAATATCTTATTTTATTTAATTTTCAAAAGTACGGAGTTATAAATTTCGGTCCGATTTTGAGAATGCGAGCTTTCATCAGATCTCCACGGCCGTGTGTATGTGTGTGGGTGTGTAAATAAAATTTTGTCGCACGATATCTTTAGAATGAATCAACTTCGAGTTGAGTAAATCTCGATGTAAATCGATCAAGCCGTTTCAAAGATATTAAAAAAAATGTTTTTTTAAGTTTTTTTTTAAATAACTTTCAAAATATTTGACTAATCAACTCCAGCTTTCATAGACACTGTTTTTAACTTAAAAAACTTCGTCGAATGACGACAAGTAAGTTAAAATCGAACGAGGCGTTCAAAAGTTATAGCCATTTAAAAATTTCTAAATAACCCAAGCGTCATAAAAAAAATGTTGACTTTTTGGTATAGGTTTCATTCAATAAGAAGTTAAATAATTAATAATTGTCAACTTTGAATAATTCAACAAAACATTAATAAAAAAAAGTTTGTGCCGCTTGGGAATCGTTTTTTTTTTTTTATATAACTTTTGAATTTTTGACCTCGAAGAGCTCAGTGATCAACCAATAGGAAGATTTTCAAGCGTTTAAACCTCGAAAAAAGCGAGAAGTTCTAGGGATGGCCTGCCGGTCAACCGGTTTTCAGATTTTTTTGAGGCATTTTAACTTGCAAAAAGTATATATTTCAATCCAATTAATTTTGTTGTGTATTAAAGCTCATTTATGTGTCTTAAAATTACTTTAAACATGCAATTTGCATTGGAGGAAATACTAAAAGAAAAAGAATAAAAATTTCTTAAATTTTGAAATGTTATAGTGAATTATGCATTGAATATAGTTGTCGTTAACCAGATACTGATTAAAATTTAAATGACTTGATGTTATGTTTGTTTCAATTAACTATACTGTAATTTATACGTATTACTTATGTGTCTGTTTATAAGGTATTTTACAGAAATAGTATATAATTTTCTTGTATTCTTTTTAACGACTCATTCAATACTTGTTTGATATATTTTAAAATAAAATGAGACGATGCATACTGAAGTAGTTAATACTTTAATTTGGCCTCGAATTATTTCAATCACAATATTATTATATCTTATGTCTTATACATATATTTTTTTCTGATATTAATTGTTTAGATCGAAAAAAATAAGACTATTAATTAAAATTTTAACTTTTGAATTTAGTGTTATGTACTCAGAATTTTTTCAAAAGATTCAGAGTTCAAATCTTGGTCTGGACTGTCTTTGTTATTTATTTATTTTTTTTTTTTATGATTTTTTTATTGAGCAATATATCGATCATTTTTGTCTGGAATTAGTTTATTATTTTAAAAAAGTTCAAGGTCAAATTAAAAATTACAGTAAGTTTCACGATATGAGGAGATTTAATTAATTTTACGAATTTTGCTACCATCTGTAGGCAATATATATATAAAAGGATCATATGATTATTATTTACCCCTAAAACTATGGGGACTATAAACTCGATACCTATAATCAAAAATACTGATCAAATATTGCTATCCAATTATTAGTTTCAATTAGAAGACAAGTTGACTACAAATTTAGACTTTTCAAATTCAAATATTGCTGTTAGATTGACACCAATCTGCTAACGCAATTTAGTATCAATGTGAGGCACAGATTGGTGGCAAATTGATTAAAAAAGTTAGAAAGCCAGAATCTATATCTGCTGTCAGTCTGCAAGCAAATCATCGTCAGCGATATAAAGAGCAGTAGTATCCACATTACCGACGGCTCATTGTTTAGGAAATGTCACAAATTAAATTTTAATAAAATCCTAGCCGATTTTTTTTCACTTATTATCTCAATGATATAACACTTGAAAAAATAATTTTATAAAATCTTAAAGCTTTAAATATTCTAGAAAACTTTATGAAAAGCACTAATGTGCTAAGAAAATTACTTTTGTTCCAATGAAAAAATTTTATTTTGTTATCATTGAGTATGAAACAAATACTGTTATATAAACTTGAAAATTAATTAATTAACTTTCAAGCTTTCTAAAATTTAATAAATCTATAAAATATACTCAGGTGATTGAAGATGATAATAAACTTTTAAGTTTATTCCAAGAAGTAATATTTATTATTCAGCTAATAGATAGTAAATAAACATATTTGTTTCTTAAACTAACAAATTATATTACTAATTAAAGCCTTACATTTATTTATATTTTTATGTATTTCATTATAAGTTTTGTATGTAATTATATCATGAAGTGGTGATACGATGAAAGACATGTTTCATCAGATGTTTTGACTTAATTATAACATTATAAGTATCTGTAAGTACTTAAGAACAAGTAAATTTCTATAGATATTTTTAAACTATTTTTATATTTATTAATACGTAACTAAATAATAACAACATAAAAAGCGAATTTTCAATATGAATTATCGGTGAATACATCTCAAACTTTATACAAGTTGAAATTCTCCATGGTAATGATTACAATTAAAAAAAATTTTTTTTTTTATTATCATCTGAGTCTAATTTTACGATCCAAAATAACAAATATTTAAAACAAATAAAAATGTTCTTTTTAAGGAAAATTGTTTTTAACAATTACGATGTGTATTTTGATTACTAACATAAAATATTTTTCTGGTATAAAACAGTTACTTTGTACTATAAAACTATATAATGTAAAAAAATTACAGCTATTATATTTTATTTTCTTTTCAAAAGAATCGTGTTTATAATTCATCATTTTACAATTTCTCATTTTTGATTAAAAGTGATAGATAAATTTTTCCTCAAATTTCAATGAAAAAAAAAACAACTGATAATTAATTAATTTATGCGCCCACTTTTAAGATATAAAATTTGAATTTACATTTAAAAAATCTAAAAAAAAAAACAGTTTTATTCTTAAAAATTTTCTTAAAAATAAAGTATTGATTAAAAAAAAAAATCTCAAACTCTGCAAATATTTTTATCAAAACTTTTATCGGCTTCAAATATAGTGATGATAATTCATTATTTAGAATATTTAACAGTCATTACAACTTTAATACAATATTAAAAATATGTACGGTGAAAAAATAAATGAATATTTTCTGTCTAAATTATTACCATACAGCACACTTATTTTTTGGGTTCATCCGTGAATTTAATGGACACTGAAAATCAGCAGCGAAATCTGGCATATTAGACATCGGTCCAAGAATACGGAATTCCCCTGGACTGTGGAATCCAGTGGTGATACGAAGTTTTAGTGCTTCAGGACGGTAGACAGAGCACCACGTATTTGCAGCACTTATCCAGAACATTTGTCTGGGCGAGTAGGGAAGTCCAGGAAGTGTTGGCTCGGGTGTATTCCGATCAGCCCAGTCTTTATACGCTAGATAAGCTTCTTTTATGCCACCATTGTCAGCGATATTCTCACCTTGAGTATTTATTCCATTCAACTGAAAAAATTTTAGAAAGAAAAGCAATTATTATAACCAGAACAATATTTAAAATTTATAAACTACAATTAATTATTTTCTTACATTCATTCCAACTTCTTTTACAGTATAATTGCCGTACTGATTAATTATACAGTCAGCCTTTTGTAGATATTTTTCCTTGGTTGATGATGCCCACCAATCGACTAGATTACCATCTTTATCAAACTGCCTTCCTTGATCATCAAAGCCGTGAGTAATTTCATGACCAATTACGAATCCAATGGCACCGTAATTCATGTATCTTGGACGGTCGCTGCTGAAGAAAGCGCCTTGAAGAATTCCGGCTGGGAATTCTGTATAAAATAAAATAAAATATAATAAAACAATGCTTTTATTATTCATAATTGATAAGACAATCATACATACGAATACTGTTTTCAATAGATGAATAAAAGGCATTAACCACTGCTGGGCGACCATGCGATACCCAGTCGCTCTTGTTGACTGGTTTTCTTAGTTTGCTAAATGAGTATTCGGTGCCGAATAATGTTAAATTCAATATGTTTTTAAGGTAAGAAGCGTTATCTGCAAGCTCTAGATTTTCGTAAAATTCTTCTAATTTAAAGTCTTGCAAAAGTTCGTCAGGATACGCAATATGACTTGTCATCGATGCAGCTTTATCAAGAGCACTCTTTCTGGTTTCTTCATCCATCCAGTCAACCTAGGAATTATTTAAAAACATTTTTATAATTGTCTTTAAAATTAAGCAAGTTATTCATGCAGAGCGATGCTTCTATGCTAACAAAGGATTATTTAAATACTTGTTTAACTATCTAAAAATAATTTTTTCAGTTTGGTTTCAGATCGTTCCATAAATTAAAGAAAAAATTACTTGACTCAAGAAAATGTTTTCTTTAGAATTTCATTCTTGTTTCAAGATATTCAATTCTTTTAATTCAAGCAATTTACTCTTGAATCAATAAATTAGAATTCTTGGATGAGTAAAAAATTATGCAGAGGAATTCTACTCTTAAACTAAGCACTATTTTCAAACCACATATACCTATACGTTATCCCAAAATTTATTTTTCTTGGTTCAAAATACCATTAGTGCAAGATACTATAGAAATTTTTTTCAAGAATTTTGTTAAAAGTACACTGGAAAAAAAATCAACTTGATTCAAGAGAAAAAAATTCTTGAACTAAGAAAATATTTTTGAGAAATTTCATCGTCTAGAATCAAGTAAAATTGACATAAATCTAGAAAAAATTTTCAGTTCAAAAATTTTTCTCTTAAATCAAGTTGATTTTTTTTCAGTGTATAAATTCTCGGATTCCTACTGCTCCCTATATCATAAAAAAAAAGTTTTAAATACGTTTCAGAATCGTTTAAATGAAAAATTTGTTATTTAAAAGAGTATTTTGCTATTTCGAATGGAAAGACTTTTATATACTTGAACCAAAAGAGTAAAGTTCTTAGAGAAAAAACGAAATTATTTTTAATTTTTTAAAATTGTTCTTGCAAGCAAGACAACCGGTTCTATTCAAAATAAGTTTCTTGAAAAGCTTATTTTTGTTAAATAAAAATTGTTTTTCTTTAATTTTATTAAACTGTATTCAGTGAGAATTCACAAAGAAATTCAGACAAGAAAATTTAGTGAATCCGTTGAGGTCATTATGGGTCTAAATGACCCAAGGTAATTTTTGAGTTGCTCTTGCTTCGAAGATATCATTAAAAATGCTATCTGTGGTACCATCTATTATTGTTTGAAGATTTTTTGAGATTCATGAAAATTTACGATTTTAATTGCACAAATCAATATACTTTTTGAAAAGCTTAAAAATGATTTTATCTTAAAAAATGAAGTTTTTAGTAAAAAAAAGTCAAACTTTTTGAAATTTTGCTTTCTTGCATTTTTTTTTATAATTAAACAATTAAAAAAAAAAAAATAAAAAACGATTGAGTTATTCAACGGAAGTGTTAAGAATTACTCTCATGTACGGTTCGAGTGAAAATATTGACAAGAACACAAGTAGCAACAATTTTTTCCGTGCATGGGGTCAACTAGATCCAGTTTGACCACTACGTTATTTTTATGAAGTGTGACCTCAACGGATTAAAATAATTGACTTACTGTTTTTAAAATTTTGTTGAATTGATTACGGATATCAGCGACCATTTCGACAGCATTTTTCTTGGCATCTTGGTGGAAATATTTCCTTACATACAAAGCCCCGACACTAATTGGTAAAGTACTAGAAACAATATCAACACACTCTTTCCACCTAGGTTCTCTTTCCGTCTTGCCACTCAGGGCTGTTGAGTATTCGAGTTGTCTTTTACGAATTTCATCGCTCAAGTAACTCACTGATGCAGCAACGGCACGCCACATTACGTAATTAGCCTGTATCCTCTTAGGCGTTGATTTGATCAGTTTTTCAAAGTCAGATATATAACTAGGAACGTTGACAATTGCTATTTCATTATCATCAACTTGGACATGAGGCTTGAGAATCGTGTTGAAGTATTCTTTCCAAGGTATACTTGGATATTTATCCGATAATTGAGTCAGTGTCATTGGATTATACAATAAAGTTGCATTACGACGTTTCTCAGTTGGTAAAGATATCTGCAATATTAAATAAAATTTTATTAGACCATAATATATGTGCTCTATATCATGATAGTGAGCAATAAAATTGAATTATTACATTGGCAAGCTTCATTTCGAATTTGAGGGATTCCATAAGTTCTTGTTCAGCGCGTTCACGCTCAGCACCGAGGATCACCGCAATATCAACCATGTAACGGTAATATTCTTTTACAATCTTGTCGTCAAATCCTTTCGATAAGTACTCTCGTGATAATCCCAGCGTAGCTTGATCGAGCTGTAATAAAATCCAAGTCGTACTAGATTTTTATTTTATGAGATTTTTCATTCTTCAACATAATAGTTGATATTTACAACTTACTATTCAGAGTTTCTAGTTATTAAAAGTTTTAAAATCAAGTATACATTTATTACACTTACGTCTAAAACTCTCTTCGTGCTATTTTTGAGATCTGCACCAATGCTGAAGTCCAAAAAATAATCTACAGAATAGCCCAATTCACGGAAATTGTAAACTGATGATATCCAATTAAAATCATTATCTTTCCACATTTCTCCTTCAAGTACGGGCCAGCCGCCTAATTTCTTTATGATGATCAACAAAGGGGTAAGTCCTTGTTCTTCAATGCCGGCTGAAAATAAAATGTTATTTCTCAGCATAAATTCGTTTAATTTTAAATATTATTGTAACATTTTCTGAAATTCTGTGATTGAAAAAATTTCTCATGATTTTTTAGTGTTAAAATAATAATTTTTATTCAAAGTTATGAAAAATATTGATGTTTTATCGATATGATATTTTTTTTAACTAGTGTAAAATTTCATTATTTAAAAATTATATTGTGAAATTTCTTTTTATTAACGATAATTTTTTTGAATATTGAAAAACGTAATTTTATTAATTTTTCTTTAATATTTTGAAAAAAAGTTTTAATTTTTTAAATATCCTACTTTGATATATGCTTTTTATTGAAAACTTAGAAATTTTTTTTTTCCACTTAAAACAAGAGTGATTATTTCATCGTCAGTAACTCTATTTGTTGCCATATTCTGTAATTAAAAAATTAAAGCAAATTTTTCGCCTTTTTTTTTGTAACCAATAACTAAATATTGTAATTTTCTAATCCTTGAATATTTAACGCAGTAAAATTTTTTGATAAAACAAACAATCTTTTAACAAATATTTGAATAATTTTTTTTTTTATTATGATTATAATTTTTTGATCTTAAAATAATGAGTTATTTTTAGTTTTTCATAGTCTAATTAAAAGAGTAGTAATTATGAAAATAAAGATACTAACTTTTATTCATGCAACTGTTGTAGAGAGTTTTAACAAGTCTGAATGGGTGAGCCATTTCTGCTAAGTGAGGATCTTCAATGCTCTCTCTTAGCTGCTCAAAAACTTGGTCACTAATGATACTAAATGTATTTACACTGACTTTGTCGTCAGGAATAGTTGTTGTTTTGAGAAAACTTCCACAAGCAAATCTGTAGAAGTCATCACAAGGGTCCACAGATGAATCCATATTTTTAAGAATCTTCGAGGCTAGATCAAATAAAATGTTGATTATTTTTCACAATTCCCTTCCAATTTTGGATAATTAATGTAATAAATTAGCTATTACTTACCAGTATGAATACATGCTGGCGAGTTACAAATGTTATCTGGAACTTGAACAACAGTAGGTGAGGGTTGTAATGACGAATTTAGTCCTAATGCTTCTACTGTTGACGGTAGCATTTCGTTTTTTGCGATGGCTGCTCGCATGCATTTGCGATTTCGGGTGCAAGAGCAAACAAAGCGAGTAGCATGAATATTTGAAATTATGAATGTTGTGAAAAGGTAAATGATAAAACTAAATTTTAGTAATCGATATAATATGTTTGATTCAATATTAACTTGCGACATCATCGCAGTGTTATTGATTTTTATTCATTTATAAAAACTAAGCACTAGTCTAGTCATCAGGGTATATTTTTCTTTTTACGATATTTTGGCCCAAAAAATTAATAATTTATTTGTCTACATTTGTTAGTGTCACAGGTTAAAATTCAAAGTATTCGTGGTTGTACAGTTAAATTAACTAAAGATCTATTCAGGTTATAAATGACAAATGATACTTCATTCAATTGTTTTACTATGAAATGAAAATATCTGATTTACAGTATTCAGCTAATCTATAACTATACCTTCTGTAAATTGAAAAAATCATTATAATCGTTCAAGATAGATTTTAATTTGATATAAGTATGAAAGTTTTAGCATTTGAATACTTGAAATTATAAAATTATCATATTTTTTTAATGAATTTGGTTTATTATCCATAAAAAAATATTTTAACTTCTTAAAATTAAACTGGAAAAAGAGTAACTCTAAGTAGTTTGTACTTAATTTTTAAATTTCGATAACGGGAATAGAAAAAATAGAAAAAAAGTAGTAAAGTCCGATTGGTAAAATGTTTGAAAAAATTTAGTATCGGGAAAAAATTTTTCAAATTTTAAAATAAAATAGAATTAAACGTTTATCTACGAGAAGGCGGGGCTCAAAAATTTTTTAATCTATAAAAGTGTTTTTGCACAGAACAAAAGATTTACTCGAATCAAATAAATAATTATGAAGAATTTCATCTTTTTGATTTAAGTAGAAAAATTCCTTGAAGATTTCCTTAGTTCTCTTGATTCAAGTTAATTTTTTTTTTTTTTAGTGTGAGAATATATAAAACAAATCGAACGGCGTTTTTTTTTCTCAAAAGAACATTCAAAACAAAAATTAAAAAATTTAACGACTCGATTAGTCTATTTTTTGCAACGTTATGAGTATCTGATAAAAAAAATTTGGATTAAAAAAAAATCATACATCAAAGATGAATGGTCAAAAAAATTTGGAAAAATTCTTAAACACGTTTTTCATGAGCCTCCAAAATATATAAAATTTTTAAAGAAATCAGAGGGGTCAACATAAAAAAGTGGCTGATTTGTTATAGAATGCCCCGTATGATTTTATTGATGATGAGTGACTATTAACTAAATAGCTTTTTAAACCTAAACTCTGAAGCCGCAGTGAATGTATTTTTTTTTGTCAAAATCAGTGATTTTACTTTTTGTTAAAGCAAAAAAAAAAAATTAAAAATTGTGAGTATTTTATTGATTAGAGTTGATTTACGACGTATGACATGACACATGTTCCAAAGTACCTCAAAAACGATGATGATTGAATTGAACATGACAGTCGTTCATGTAATGACTAATGACATTTTATTTAAACTTTAGTGCATTTGCATTAAGCTGTTATTGCTATAACTATTTATTTATTTTCCCAAATTAAAAAAAAAATTTTATTAAATTTAATTTGAAGCCCCAAAATTGTACCACAAAACTTTCTTATAAAATTTCTATAGTATTAAAGATCTTAAGTTTAATGGTAACAATAACAATAAAAAAAAAATTTGTGTAACAAAAAACTTTCTAACTTAAAAGAACAGATATTCACCTGCATCTGTGCCATTGCATGACCTCGAGTTCGAAACTATTACACCAATGCTTATTGCCAAGGCAATACATAAAAGGACTCCGCAAACTGCAATTATCGTCAATCCTCGTTCTAAAGCGGATCTTCTTTTCCACCATGTTGGATTTCTTAAAAATAAATAATTATTATATTTATTTACATATTTTATTTATCTTTGTTATAGACTATAGATTTATTTTATTAATAAAACCCATCAATATTTATTCATTTTATTTTAAACATTCATTTGAATAATAATTTTTTCTATTACTAATATATATTATATTCTTATTCTTTTAAAAAATGAAATTCTAACCATATGCAAGCCCGGATACTTGATAATTATATAGAAGTGATTTTAGGACATCCGGGTATGTATAATATTTGTAAATAGCATGTTATCGTATGATAATTCTTAAATTCATTTAAATAGTTTTTCGATAGACCGACTACGACGGAATTTCCTTATATTTATATGATGTTGACGTTGTTACAATGATACAAAAATTAGCTTGATTCAAGAGAAAAAATCTTGAACTAAAAAAATCTTTTTAAACGAAAGAAATTTTTTGTGGTTCAAGTCAACGACTTAAAAAATTTTACTTGATTCAAAATAAAAAAAAATTTATCAAAATCATTTCCTTGATTCAACATTTTTTCTCTTGAATCAGTAAATTTTACACAGTAAAAAATTTTTCGTCATTGCGTCAAAAAATTTTGTGTTAAAAATTTTCGTGTTAAATATTTAACACTTTTATGTGTTAATTTAACATTTATTATGTTAAATCAACACAAAAAAGTGTTAAATATTTAACATAAAAATTTTTAATTCAAAATTTTTTTACGCAATGACGCAAAATTTTTTACTGTGTATTGTCACTGCACATTCACAAAAATCAGTCAGTTGAAATAGTTAACAAAATATTAAGAATATAAATCTTAAAAGTGCATTAGATATGAATTTCATATCAATAAGTAGCACAATTTCAAAATTTAGTGATTTAGGCACAATTGTTCTTTTAAATTAAACATATTTGTGTTTTGTTATGAAATATGTAAAGATAAATTACGAACCATAAGTAATTAAATAGTTAATTTTTTTATTTTGACTCCACACAATCCGACCATCAAAATGCAAATATTTTATACCTGCGGACAAATAATCTCCATGCGTACTATACAACATGTAATTCTCGTAGCTCGTGCTGACTAATACAAATAGATAAATGTTAAATGGTCTGCATTAACTGCGCGTACTCATCGGACCAATCGAGTCTGCATAACATAATAGAACAAGTCTGACAAGAACGACAGGAAACAACAACTTGGGTATATCGACCTCGTAACCTCGAGATTTCTTCTACTTCGATGTTTAGTGTAGCATATCTTATTCTGCCCTAGTCATATTTAGAAAGTTACCGGCACATATAAGTGATTAAAAATTTGTAAATAAATTTTCATCTACTTTGTGCAACGTTCGATGAATAAGTAATTTTTTTTTGTTTACTTAAAAATAAATTTAAAGTTGATTTTAATTGCATAAAGCTATTTTATTTTGAAAAGAGAGAATATTATATTATAAAAAACACACAAATCGATTACATAATCTATAAGTATCTAACGTATACTTATCTCGTGATTTATTTCATTACACAATTTTTTTTATGAATGTAAACTTTTTTATGTTTTATGAAAAAAATATTCGTCTCACTAAAAAATAATTTTTTTTCCATAATGAGAATCTTTTAATAATTTCTAAAACACACAATGATAAAATAGTGATTGTAATGAATATTTTAATCGATAAAGAAAATCAGGTAATTGTTTAATAAATCCAGTGTAGGGAGCCATAGTTTTATCGATCCTATTAATATAAAAATTTTTATTGCTGTACAGTCAATGGTTATGATCTGGTTAAATATTATTTAAAAACAACTTTATAATTGCGTTTATCAAACGAGATTTAGATTTTTATTTTATAAAAGTACCGACACGGTAATAACCTAATAAATACGATAATATTTAAATTAGTTTAAGATGACTTAAATTTCCCGCGTTAATACCACAGCAATCTTATCGAGTTTGATGAAGCGTTTCGGTTGATGTTCACGGTTGGTTCAATTTAATCTTCGCGAAATTTCTTCGGTGTATATAAATAGTATATTATTAAAATAATATCTATTAAAGATTTTAACTAAAATATCATTCTAAATGTTATTTTAATAATTAAATACTTTTACTTCCTGCCATTGAGCGAATTAGTTTTATAGAAAACGGAAAGTTACTGTCATTATTATTTTTAAGATGATAAATACTTTGACAAATAGTGCTGTTAACGGGATAACATGTTATTAAATAAAATTGTGTGCTTAAAAATTTTAATAAATTGAGAATATCTAAAAAAACTTCAATTAGGATTGAATCAAATAAAATTCTTTGCCACGTAGATGATGTAGAAATATAAATGTCTAATGTTAATAAATCAACAAAATTATCGGTATCATTATACATTGTTAATTGAGCAATAAAACCCGCGGTGTATTTAAACCATTCCACCATACCAAGTCTATACCAAATCATACACGCGAGGTCGATAACTGTAGATTGAATAATGTACGGAATATTATATACATATATGTATGTAATTTATTTTTTACCATTTAAAATGTGCTGCGAATTTCAGTTGTCTCGAGGACAGCATGTTTCTAATAATAATATCCCATCTAAACTGGCCGAGTAGCTTGATGGAATAGTTTGTCATACTTAATTTAATTACTACCGTAAAAAACAGAATTTTTTGATATTTTTGATATTACATAATATCATAGAGAAGATTGGTATTAAGAAATCTATCTTTATGTTTATAGGTCATTCTATGCCAGATCAACAAGTTGTTTTTTATTTGCATTTTGGTAAGTTTTAGAAAGTTTTTTGAATATGTCACGAGCCATGAATTTGTAGACATTAAAAATTACATGATTTTAATTTTAAGGAAAATTTTGCAAATTATTTTAAAAATTGAAAAAATTTTGTTTTGCTTTTTTCATTTTTACTATTTTTGATAGTCATTGTTATTATCAAATAAATTTTGTGAATTTTTTTAATAAAGCTACGCACTTAAAAAAAAATTTAATGTTGAAACTCGATTCTGAAAATTATTATTTATTCGAGAATCAAAGTAACAAATACAATTAAATTTAATTGTTTTTTACTTTTCAGCCGTATTGATTTTTTATCTTTATTATATTTGCTCAGAATTTTTTAAATTGAAAATTATGCACAGATAAATTTTCAGAATGATGAAAGTTTGTTTTATATTATTTGCTTTCGTCGTATTAAGATTAATAATAAACAAATGCAATTCCTATGAAACTCCAATAAAGTCTGAATTTTATGCAATGTATAAAAATTTTTAAGTTTATTTCATAAGAAAAAGTAATCAGTTGTTGTGTGCTAACGTTTGCATTGGACTAAATTGTCTTGATGCAAGTGATAAAAAATTAAAAATTCCATCGGCTAAAACAAGATTTTATAGTTAATGTTGGAATTTTTTTGATTAGTAGTTAAAACAACTAAAATTTGCATTAAAATATTTTGACTTTTGAATAAAAGTTTTATTCATTTCGGCTGTAATGACATGACTCATATTTAAAAAGGAAATTATTCTTAGAAGTACGTATGAAATTTAAGACAAATTTTATGAAAATTACTGTGTTAAGAGCCATATTTTTCATTTCCGGAAATTTAAGAAGCCCAGATGATTATTTTTTTTTAACATTCAACCTTCTATTATCTCATTACTCCGTATAAGTTAAGAGTGGGAGGCTACTAAATCACTAACTTACATAATACAATTTATATAAAAATAAAAGGATATTTTTTTCGGCATTTTATTGAAAATTAACCATTTTTAGATAATGTAATTTAAATAGCATGAAATTTTTCTCTTGAAATTTACATCATTAATATCTTTTAAATATAATTTTTAAAATTATAAATACTTATTGTTTAAGAAAAGAAAAGAATTGATGAATTTAAAAAATAAATAATGTTTATTTACTTGTCTATAAAGTATAATGAACTGTTAATACAATGAGTTGTACGTTTGGAAAAATTCACTTGAAAAGCTTGTGCAATGAAGATTTTCTATTTTATATTCATTTTCAGTCCAATTATTGAATTGTGTCGTGTTAGTGTAGATTATCCTCGTTCATGGGTTTAACTGCATAATATAAATAGTAAGAAACCGACAATTCTGAGTCTCTGTTTGTAAAAGATATAAAGATGACACTCACTACTGTCTAGACGTACATGCTGTTGTATATTATGCAATAGTCAACAGATCATGATCAATAATAATAGTTTATTATGTATAATTATAAATCATGGAAATTAAATCTACGTCAAACTATTGTGTGCTTTAAAAATTTTAATAGACAACTATAGATTAAAATTATTGGTAGGTTGCCTGATATTATGAATCATGATTTCATGATAACATGATATTGAAATAAACAGATATAATCAAGGTTTTCCGGAAATCATTTCATCAATCTGTTATGAATTGGAAAAAAAATCTGTCACTTAAACCAACCGTAGGACATAAATTATTTCCATAAAAATATAAATAAATACCAATCACGCTGTAATTTAGTATGTTCTAATTTTCAAATAATTTTGTTTAAAATAATAGTCATTATGAAGTATGTTAAATAGATAATTTATGTTAGTAAATAAAAGTTATTCAATATATTAATGATCCAAATTTAAATTAAGCGATTTTCCGAATAGAAATTCTGTTATGCAAAACTACGCTGATATAAACTTAAAAAAAGGTCTAATTGTATCATCATTACATTACAAATAACCCGAACAACTAACCCGGATCAGAAATAAATCTTAGTTTTGGCTAGTAGTCGTGTGGCTTGAAGTTTACTGATACATCAACTCGTAAATAGACATTGTTTCGGAAATTGTTCGAGGAAACTTACGAATTTTTTCAAAGTAGATGAAATGAGAACCAAAAAAAATATCTAGCAGTTATAAAATATGTTAATGTGATATATTTATGCAATGAAGTCAATGAAGAAAATTTCAAAAAGTGAGATAATAACGTATTGATTTTAACTGAAAAAAAATCTGAAAAACAGTTAACCGGCAGGTCATTTCTGGAACTGCTCGCTTTTTTCAACCTTGAAACGCTCGAAAATCTTCCTATTGGATGATAAATTATTTTTTTAAAATTAATTGTATGAATGAATGTGCAAATTATAATATTGAATGCATCCCTAAACATTATATTATAATAAAAAAACTCGATAATATTAATGTTAAATTGACTCATATATACGGCTTCCAAACTACAAATAAATATACTATTATTTTTATTGAAAGTCTTTTGGAAATATCTATTTTTATAAATGTGAGTAATAAAAATTATCTTATCTTATCTGTAAATAACAAAGAATTTGAATGATAAATAAATTCAATGATATAAAAAAATCAATTAATTCATTTATTAATTTTGTTTTTTTTTTTATTTATAACGAAGCACCTTAAGATGTTATTGAGGCTTTGTTCAGTTTCGAAAAATATTGAGGTTCTCGAGCACTTATTGAGACGCTATAGGCTTTTAAGACGCTACTGAGGCGCTAAAAAGCGAATAGCACCTTCAATTTTGGTCATTAGAATTTCTAATGAGGAGTTTGAGACGCTGTTGAGGCGTTAAAAATGACAGTTTCGGGAAAAAAAAAAAAAAAATGAGACCTTTGAGGCGCTATTGAGACGGTAAATTTCTACTCGGGGCTTTCTAAGACCTCAAAACGTGGAAATCTGATGAAAACTCGTATCCTCAAAATCGGACCGAAATCTATAACTTCCTACGTTTGAAAATTATTAATTTTCAAAGTGGGAAGTTAAAAATAAAATAATTTTCCAGGAAACTAAGATTAGTAACCATTCAATATGAATATTTCGATCCTTGATTAATGCATATCCTAGTTCTAAGGGTCCTTTAGATCCATCGTGAGTTTGTTTGGTTAATTGATTTTTCTATCTTTATGATCCGAAGTTTCTTGCCTGAGAGGCTTTTGTTAGTCTTAATCAGGTTTCAATATCTTCCCAAGTTTACTTTAGGAGTATCTGATTGGGTTAGTCGTATACCTTTTTAAACAAAAAATTATTTAACCACTGCATAAAGAAGTATTTCTTAGAAATTGCTGATTAAAAAATATCTCTTGAAGCCCATTATGATTACTTGTAGTTTTCAATAAATTATTCATATCTT